GGGGGTCCACCTGACCGTAAACGGGTTTACGGTCTACACGAGTTTACGGTCGTAAACCCGTCCTGACCGTGAACTCGGTGATTTTTCGAGGAAGTTTCAAGTTTTTCGTGTGATTCCCGGTTTATTCCGAATCGTATAAAATACATATATTTATTTAAAACGTAAAGTCCTTCCCAAACTAAGAAATTTGACGGAATTTAATAAAAACCCAAATTTTATTAACGGAAACTGGTAAGGATAACGGAAAAAGTTTCGGGTTGTCACAATGCCTTACACTTCTAGCAACTTGTAGCAACCCCGAGACTTCCTCATGTCCGGGTTGCAGCCCACGAACCCTAACCACTGACGACCCGAAATAGGATGTTACACATACACTGTATGTGGGGCGTAATCTAGGCTACGCCCAGCATAGCCGAATTTTCACCTGTTTTCTGGATAAGGCTTTACGCCCTACGTAGAGCTAGGTGTACGTCGTGCGTAAGTCAACGAAAGGTTGACCGTTGACTTTTTGACCAGTTTGACTTTTGGTTAACTGTGAGGGGTTGAGGACTTAGAAGGGAAAAATGGTCTTTTGCCCAAGCGACGATTTATCTTGGAATTTGGACTTGCTGAGTTGGGTATTTACCTTAATTGCTAATTAGGGTTTGGTATGTGGATATGTTTAGTGGAAAGCACTTTAGCACCGACAACTCATGTGCGAGATCTATTCGTTTACCAATCGAGGTGAGTCTTTTCACTACACTTGTGGGTCAAAGGCACCAATGTCGGCCGACTAGATTACGTTATGTGAATGCTAATTGTCTTTGTGACTTTTGCATGTATGATTAGACTGAAATAAACCCCAGGGCTGGGCCCATTATTGTTTGGTGGGTTGAAACATACCCCAGGGTTGGGCCCATAATTATATGTTGGGTTAGAATATACCCCAAGGATGGGCCCATTATTGTATGTTGGGTTGAAACATACCCTAGGGTTGGGGCCATGATTGTATGTTGGGTTGGAATATACCATAGGATTGGGCCCACTGATTGGTATGACATGTGGTATTTTGGGGAACTCATTAAACTTTGTGCTTACAGTTTTCGTTTAAAATGTTTCAGGTACTTCTGGTTTCAAAAAGAAAAGGTCCGGCTTGATCGCACTGCATCTCATTGAGATTTATTCTGCAATGATTGTTCCAATTTTATCCTTGAGGTTTTGATTTACTTAAAATAAAATTTTACTCGGCATTTTTGGGATTTTACAGCCTTTTTAACCGGTCCTTTGATCTTCATGATATCTTTATGAACCTGAGGCATGGATCATAAGTAAATCTAGTGTTCAAAATTATGTTTTTTATAGACTTGTGGTGACCTTATAAGATTGATTGTCGATCTTATAAGCCTAACCGTTGATCTTATCAACTTAGCGTCGGCCAATCATTTGACTGTCAACATCAAGTAGTCACATTTTTTTTGCTGACTTGTTGCTTCCCATTTCATAAAAAAATAGTCACATTTTGTTTTTGTGAAATTTGCATTTCTTTAAAATGAAAGAGTAAAAGGTCAATCAAACTTTTTATGAAAAGTTATAATATAAAGTAAAGAAAAAACTCATAACGCTTTTATCAGGAGAATAAAAATTTTCAACCTTACATTTTCTGTAAAATACAAAAAGTCAATTTTAAATATTTTTTATAAATAGAATTATTTTTAATGCTTAGATATTTTTTACTTAATAAAATAAAATATTTTATAGAAATCTCTATTTAAATATTTCACAAATATCTACTTAAGTATTATTATTTTCAACATTTTGATGCAATTCATTGTGACACTTTCAACATCACTTTTTTCATACCCAAGTATCCAACAACATTGTTGTATTGTCTCCAACATATGCAACACTTCTTCTAGAAGATGCAACAAACTCTATTATCATGAAGAATTTAACCCAAATCAAGATGCGCTATTCTGAAGATGTGGAAGGCTAATCTAAACAAGACTCCTTCTCATGAGATTAGCATGATATTAGATTACTTTTCCTTGATTATTACTTTCATTATGAACAAATAATGATTTGCTATGATGATTTGAACATTGAAAAACATGTTCATAATAGTAGACTTCTTTGTGCTTGTTTAAAAGTTGGTTGTTTTAATCTTAAGACATTATATTGCCAAATCATTAATTTTTTAAACTTGGTTTTTTTATAAAAATAATTTTTTACAACGTTTTTTATATGAAAAGTTTTTACAAAATTAGTTTTTTACGAATATTATTTTGACATGATATAAGAATATTGAAATGCCTCTAACATAGCATGATAAAAATACCAATTTACCCCTAATGTATGTGTGGATATAATATGGATTGCCATATTTAATCAAATATTTTTAAGCTATTGCCATGTGCAAAGAAATATATCAAGCTTTTAAACGAATATCATATAAAAATTATTGAATTCAACTCGTTTCCAAAGTGGCAAAGTCATTTACTTCTTGGAATCAAACACCCAATTTTAATTTTTAATCAATTAAGAACTACTTTGTCAACCATAAGCAAAGCAAAAGGAATTAATATACATTTACAAGTAAAGATTTGTGTGTTACTTTATCAGGTTGTTGGCTTCTATCGTTGAACTTTATTAACTTAAAAGATAAAAAGTAATTCTCTAGCTTCTTTCTAAACTCTCACTTCGATTAAATTAAAGAGTTCCTTTAGATGTGTTCTACAATTCCCTTTCTGTTCTATTGAAGTGCAAAAGCATCAGAGTAGTATCAAATGCTTATGCTACAAGATCGAAGAGATTCTGGAGAAAAGAAACCTGATTAATTGGAGAGTTTCACTTCACATGAGGAGATCATCAAGAAATGGGGAGATGATTGGGAGCTTTAAAACCCCAGAAGCCACAAGAAATGATACGATCCACAATGGAAGAATCCATAAGAACACCACCTTCAGAATATTCTTCCCTGAAATGCGTAAAACAACTTGAATCAGGAAGATCCACCACATCGAAGTTTATACATATCAGATAAAATGATGATCGATTTACCAGTAGAACGAGATGGGCCTTCGGTTTTATCAATTATCCATTCACCAGTCTCTCGAAGCTTCTTCTCCACATCCCCTTCCGTTCTCCCAATCGAATTCGACAAAATTGAATCAAAAAACGTTTTCTCTTGCTCAGATTCACTGGTGGTTCGATTTCACAACATGAAACACAAATTTCAAAATCGGAAACCTAAAAAGTTCATTATTCCCATCGAATAAACAAAATTAAATACTGAATTTCACTTAAGTAGATGAAGAAACATACCTGTTGATGTCACGATCTCTGAAAATTCCTGCTCCAATAGCTCGTTCTATTTCTGCAACTGAGGGTTTCTTCTCTTGTTTTCCTGCCGGGATTGACGGCGGTGGTAGTGGTGTCGCGGAGTTGATCCGGCGAACTTGGGGTTTAGTATCTGGATTGGTTTTATCTGATAGAGAGGAGAGAATGAGTGGTCTGTAAATGGCGATGGAAGTTAAGCCTATCATCTCCTCCTCTTTTGCTCTCCAACGACCAGATGAACACGCATAACGGAATTTTGTTATCGTTAATTTCATCATTATTAGAAAAGTACAAGCAAGTCCACTTCTTTAAATTAATAACCAATTAGTCCTTGTATTCTACTTGGTTTTTCAAAAGATGGTATTTTTGTCATCGTTATTTAATTTTATTTCATTTTCGTTTTTTTCTAGCTATCAAACAAATATGCACTAACAAATAACAACTCATTTATTCAACCAGAATAACCAAATTTATTATTGTATTTCATTATGATGTTTGGTTGATTTATATTTAAATTAAATGACTGGTTTATTTTTCAATCACCAACATATCAAAAAACAAACACCAATTATCTCAAAGAACTCCAACAAGTATGTAGCTAATCAATATATTATTTCAAAAATTAGTTTTACATACAAAAACACATAATAAAAAAAATCCACATTTCAAGTAGGCAACATTCTAAGCAAATGAAGAGCCTTGACCCATTCCACCCTCTCACAAATCACAATCCTCCTCAACACGGGAACCAGCCCGGCCGCCACCATGGCGGGGTGGTTCTCCGCCTCCATACCCAAACTATAAAGCACCGCCAAACCACCTTCCACCACCCTATCATTCCCCTCTTCCACCGCCTTCACAATAGCAAAAATCCCACCTTTATTAGCAACTGCTCGATTATACTCCACAACCCCTTCCGAAACAATCCTATTCAACTCCAAAACAGCATCTTCTTGGATTCGATCGGAATCGGAATCCTTGATTTGTTGAATGAGTCTTGGGATTGTTTCATGGATTATGATGTCGGTGTTGATTGGATTTGGATTTGGAATTGGAGTTTGTAAATTATTTTGTGAAGAGAGTTTGATGAGGCATGCGGCTACCCAATCTTTGTTTTGAAGAGGGATTTTGGAGGTGAGGATTTTGCGGAGGGATTTTGTGAATTTGGAAATGTTTGCGGTTTTTTTGAAATGTTGGGAATCGAGAAGGCGGGTGAGTAGGCGTGATGCGGTGGATACTGCCACCCCGGCTTCTTCCGTTTCTAGGGTTTGTAGTTCAGGTTCTTCAAATTCAATTTCGGATTCCATTTCTGAAAATTTATTATAAATAAATTAATAAAAGAGTTAATATCATAAAAGACTATAATTTGTATTTTTTCCGGATTAAACCTCAATTTTATTTATTTTTCCCGAAAAAGACCTTTTATTTTTTCAATTTTCCAAATAAACCCTCAACTTTGTCTTTTTTTTTTCGAAAAAAACCCTCAAATTTCCTGTTTTATTTTTCCAAAAAAAACCCTCACACTTTATAAGTTTTTTTCAAGAAAAAAATAACGTTGAGGTTTAATCCAGAAAAAACACAATGTAAGGTCTTTTATGAGATTAACCCTTAATAAAAAAAAAGTCGGTTGATATGATTAACAACTTCTTTTTTGAATTATAAGATTGCGTTATGGTTTTCGTTTGTGTGCTATGTCAAAAGTTATGGATATGTTAAACTAAGTAAAATGACTATTTTGCCCTCATATTCATCTTCTTCAAGGAAAAATTGAAAACTGTAGCGACGGGGTAAAGGAGAAAGCATTGGGTGTTCTTGAAGTTTTGAGAAATTGGAGTTAGTTACATAAACAAGATGAAGAATATGAGGGCAAAATAGTCATTTTAGTTAGACTCAACACATCAAGCTACAAACCATAAGTGCAACAAAATTATGCTCTCGGACTGAATCCATAACTTTTGACATACCACTAGGTTGAAAGTTGTAATTTAATCCAATTTGAACTTTTATTAAAAAAAAAACATTTTAAAAAATGTCATAAATGAGCAACAAACAGTTTTTTTACTCAAAAACACTAAAAAATGAAGGTAAGAAACTGGAATTGTTTGTTCACAAAACACCCTTATTTTTATCGTCTTTAATGGTATTTTTATTTTATTAACAAAAAACATTCCAGTTTCTTACCTCTTGATGGAACTTTTAAAAAAAATAATAATAATAATTTTGTATTTAAACAAAAAACAAATAGTTTGTTATTCATTTATGTGTATTACCAAATGAATCCATAGTTCCATACCATTAAAGAACTTGTGTTGGAAAATGGAATTCAAAGCAGATTCGATATCAAATAAGACGATTTTGTCCCTACAACTCTCGAATGTTGTCAAGAATTCAAGAATTGAAGCTGCTTTTGTTTGCAAAACAAACGAACAACTCTTCAATATTTCAACTAATCGTGAAATGAATGTGGAATCTGAAAGATCCTCCACTTGGATCGTTTGCAAGCTGTCATATTCAATACAAAAAAAAATTATAAAAAAAAAAAAAATGAATCCAACATGCAAAAGAAAAACATAACAAACCTGGTTGACAATCTTGCTTCATTCCATCCTTTCTTAGATCCATTAACAGGTGCATCATAAAACTGTTTGTAGAAATAGCAACATACGCTTATTTATGAGTGAAAGTACATTTTATTTCTTGCATTTTAGATTTTTTTTTATTAATAAAAAAATGCTAACCTTTGATTTCATTTGTTTGCTGGGATCTAAAATCCGAGCAAGAATATTCAAGATCTGCATTAATCTCAAAACCACATCATGTGTAATAGAATCATCATCATCATTGATCATGTCAATGAATATACACATAAAATATAATAGTGTTTTTATACCATGTAAGTTAAATCTCCATTGGCATCTGAATTTTTCAATAATGTTATCAAATGTTCCAAAACGCCCTCCGCTTCAATTCTCTTGCAAACATCGTTGCTGCATAAAATAAAGATAAATATCAATGTGACCTTTTAATTTTTGTAACATTCTAGAAGATTAATGTGTATTTATATAAAGTATAATCACAAAAAAACTACCAAAATGGTATGCCACATTTAACAATGTGATAACCTTTTTTCACTCCACTGAGACTTTCATTTTTTTAAAAGCCATTACATATAAAAATTTAAATTCTATAAAAACCAATATAGTTTGGAATTTCTTACCATGGTTAAAAAAAAAAAAAAAAAAAAAAAAAACTATAGTGGTTTTTATGGAATTTAGCCTACTACAAAATATTTCCTCATTTTGCAAAATGATGATGTCATTTTTTTTATCTGAACCTAATTTAGTTCTTATTTCGGAGTGTTAATATGTTATGAACATAAATATGTGAATCTATGAACTTAGAATAAAAAAGAGTCTTTATGATTACCTAATTATTATGTTAAGAAAAAAATGAAGAAATAGAAGATTTCACCTGATTGAAAGCCTCTCTAAAGCACGAACAACACTTGATCTAACAGATTCACTTTCATGATCAATAATCCGAATTAAATTCTTCACAGCACCTGCTTCCATAAAAGAGCTCCTCATATGCTCACTAATCGCCACGTCAGCAATCGCGTCAGCAGCCTTCACAATAGCCGATTCATCTTCCAATTCAAGAATCAAAACCATACGCGCCACACCATCAACCCAGGGCAAAATCGTAAATTTACCATTTTCATTTTCTGTTTCTATGGCTCCAATACGTGCAAGAAACTGTTGTTGTGTTCTCCCAACTATTGCATTCTTTTTTGCTTCTTCTAATTTTGAGTTTTGTTCATCTTCTTCAACATGTAACCCTAAAAGTAATTCTGATGCACCGAATCTTGATGGAGTTTTTGGAGTTTGTTTCACATTTAGCTCACTTCCATCGGGTAGAGAAGGCCAAGAATGTAAAGATGGGCGAAATGACTTATATGCCCCTGGACCAACTAAAGGAACTAGAACAAGACCTTCTTCTATTAAAAGGATTTTGTAATAGTCATCTTTTCCAAGCTCCAATAATGCACTTTGTGCTTCTTTTCTAATGATCTTGGATGCTTCAATGTCTGTTCTTAGAAATTTGGCCTGTGTTTTGATTGAGAAAATAAATTCAAAAAACTAAAACTTTCATTTTGTTCCTATATAACTAATGTATTGTAAAAATAGTCTCACCAATGGGGGAATGACACCTGTCTCGACCATAACTTTGTGATTAGCAACACTTAATGCTAAATTGGCCAAAACACCACCAGATGCTTCTATAACTTTCATGTCTTCATCATCCAAGAATTTAATAAGTAAAGGAACAAGATCAGAATTTGCAATTTGGAGTCTAAGTTTTTCATCAACTGAGAGGTTTGCTAACACACATAAACTTTGCTCCTTTATCTGCCAATTTCAAGTTTTTAAAGGTTTTTTGGGGGATTAAATTCATATTATACTTCATTAACATAATTTTAAAGAGATTAAAATGATATCATACCTCAGAAGTCAATGAAGGTCTTCTCAAAAGACTAGTAATCTCTTGTATAGCTCCACTTTCTGCTACAAAATCTCTATAGATGTTAATTGATGATATCATTCTCAAAAGTCCTGCAGCTGCTTCACATGCAACATCAGACTCTGAGTTTAAAAGATTTACAGTGAGGAAAACAGAACCACTGGATTTCATGATTGTATCAACACACTGTTTTCCACCCAAAGAGTATTTCCATAATGCATCAACAGCTTGCTCTCTATCTGAAAGATCGTTATCTAACCCTAGCATCCGAATAAACAACCCCACATACCCATCACCAGAGTTGGGTGAGCTGCTCGCTTTATAATCCTGTCGATGTAACAACAGTGGCATTTTCACAAACACGTTGTGTGCAATGTTTCACGAAGAAAGGAAAGTAAATTAATTTCAAACTGTATCACCAGTTCATCACACAATCATTCATTCATTCTAGACAATTGACATAGAACAAGATGAAACGCGGATGGATATGAACTTCGAAGCAAATTAGACGACTTACAGAAATATCATCGGAAACTTTTTGTGGGGTGTCGTCGTGAAATGTGCCACCGCTGTCACTACTGCTGCTGACCCTGGTGACGACTGGACGTAGAGAGTGTAGTTTCAGGTTTGATGAATTGAACGAAGATGAAGTGTGTAAATTTTGAAGTTTTCTTCTGGTTCTAGAGGTTTTAAAGATCATCGAAGAGGATGTTTCGATATGGGATTGAATTTGAGATATGGAGAAACCGAATTTGAGATGGGGATGAGTCGTTAAGGACATCATCTTGATGAGAAAGCAGTGAGGTTCAAACTCCAAACAAGATTATCAAAGGGTTTTATGATTTCATGGTGTTTTGTGGGTTTAAATGGTACAAGCTACTTGGGAATTGAAGCTTCGAGATAATGCATATTGATTATCGAGTACGCCCTTTGGAAATTGTTATTCAACTCATGACTATGAAAAAAGAAGAAAATAATAGCCCGAATGTTTAAAGCTTTTCTAAATTAACATAACATAAAATAAATCTTTCATATACTTATTAATTTCGCAGTTTCAATATGAAATGAAATGAAATGGGAACATGAGGTTTTTTTTAATGAAGTGCAAGGTGGGCAACCGTATAGGGCCCATGTCGTAAAGAGGGCCTAATTTTTACATACAACTCGTTAATCGTTATAGTAGACTAATAATCCATGTCTGAAAACAAAATTGATTCAAATGTATCGTCACCAGACCAAAGTCAGTTCACGCTATGATTCTCGTCAATCCAAGTCGGAAGACACCTATGACGTCACTCCATTTTAACCTGCTAAAGTCATTGAGGGTTTGTGTGTGTTTGATTATTGATTAACTGATTGTTTCAATGCACCATGTGATTTAGAAATCAAAATTGTAAGGTTCAAAATATAATAGATCACTTAATTTCATAATCGCTTTTGGCCTTCAATTTCATATTATTTGATTAACTGATTGTTACAATTTCAAAAATCAAAACTGATTTTCTGAGAAATCTGATGGTTACCTCTTGTGTCTCAATTTCATAATTGATTGACTTCTGTTGTGGATTGTGTGTCTAATTGTTTCATTTTCAAGCGACGACTTATTTTAAAACAAGATTTGAACAATACAATAAGTATGAAAAAAAATTTGGTTTTGCATTCAAAAAAATTAAAGGAATTTGATGACAAAGATCTTAAGTTGTGTTGTAACCATCTTGAAGCACACTTAAATATGGTAAACGATCATATATTCAATGAACTTTATATGAAGTTAAATATGGTTAATGAGCTCTTACCGAGTGAAACTATTACACCTTCGATGTTTTTAAATATATAAAAAAAAGTTAGTTGTTTTCCTAAAGTAATTAATGCATTTAGACTAGACTAGAGTATTGGTGATTATTCTAGTAACCGTTGCGTCTGTAGAAACATGTTTCTCAACATTGAAGTCATCAATGTTCTACATACGGTCCACAATGTCATAAGAAAAACTTAATGCTTCGAAATTATAGCTATTGAGAACATTATATTGGGAAATATTTATTATAAAGAGTTGGTGAACAATTTTGCTTCTAAAAATGTTATGAGAGCATTGCGGTTCATGTAATTATGTAAGATTAGATTCTATATTATTGTTTTTCTAACAATTATCGACTTATTGTAGTATTAATGAATTTTGTTTATATATAAAAAAATTATGTTTAAGGGCCTAATTTTATTTTTTGCACAGGACCTCAAAATCGATGAGACGTCCTGTGGGAATGCCTAAAAAATTGTATTGAAAAAGAAAAAAAAAAAAAAGCTGTTACGAAATATTATTTAGAGTAGAAAAAAATTCCGATGCAATAAAATTGTTTATTTTTTTATTTTTTATGATTTCTTATAAAAATATGTTTTTTCCAAGTTTTATTTAGGGATCTTCAAAAATCATTTTTACAAACAAAAGAAAATATTTATGTCGCTAAAACGAAGATTTTATAAAAAAAATCCGGTAAAAAAATTAGTAGAAAATTAGAAGGGAAAAAATCTTAGATGGTGTTATTTCGTTTATTGGGGGAATTTTCTTTAATTTTGTCTACTTTTTTAAAGAAACTTAAAAGTATTTGTTTTTTTTTCCTCTTAAATTGTTATAAAAATGTTTCAAGTTTCAACACCCTTAAACAAACAGGTGAGGCCCCAAATTGCAAAGCATAAAACATTCTATATAATAAAAAGAGATACGTCCAAATAATAAGGATAACAAGAGAGTATATATATATA